GAAGGAGTACGCGCACAACGGCGGTCATCAACGTGTTAAATGTACTGCCAGCTGACGATGTCTAACAAGAGCAGCGGATCCTGCAACGTACGGAATCGTCGGCAGGGAAAAGTAGAGGACAGATGCTGCGACTTATTCAGGAGAGAGAAGGTAGTGTCACTCAAGGGGGTATATTACGGTAAGGTCGGAGGTCGAAAAAGGGGAACTATAGGTGGCAAGATTTACCTAGCCGAAACGCAGGTGGGTCCCTTAGTGGCGTGCGATGCGCGCTTTAGCGGAGTATATGACCGATGTCATAGTTTGCGAATCGAGCGATTCGCTAGCGAATCGCTGGATCCGAGCGTTGCGCCAGCGAATCGAACTTTGCGCCAGCGAATCGAACGATGCACCAGCGAGTCGAACGATGTACCAGCGACTCGACACTGTTTGAAAGTGGCGGGACCCAACGTTTGAAGGAAGTCCACTTCAAAGGACCACACTGTTTGAAAGTGGCGGCCTTCCTTTAAACGTTGGGTCCCGCCACTTTCAAACAGTGTTGAGTCGCTGGTACATAGTTCGACTCGCTGGTGCATAGGTCGATTCGCTGGCGCAACGCTCGCTTCGCAAACCATGACTTCGGCCTATGTCCTCAGCCTGGCTGGGCCACCGTCTCGCCGTCTTACTGTGGCCATTTAACAGAGAGAATCTCAGCAGCACTGATGAGAGTCGCATCTATGCAAGAACCAACAGACAGAAAATGGGTCTTCTTTTTTTCTGAACCGTTTTCCATGGTTTTTCTTTTAATCCATCACTAACCACCTTTATCTGATTTCTAACTAGCCACTTTTCATTGTAAACTCCGCTGCTAAAGGGACACATTAGAAATGCTCAACGGTTTAAGAGAAACAAAATTGAGTGTCATGTGTTGAGTTAGGAGATGGAGTGCATAGTGGAAGTATCCCACTGTTATACAAACATAAAGATAGCAAACTGCTAGCAGAGCTAGGCAGTTCACAAGCTTGGCGATATCGAGGTATTGAAATGGGATGATTGTCATAGAATTCCCAGCGGTTATATAACCACCTACTTAGCACAGTCTCAGTCATTGGTGCCGCAGTGGCCTCTGAAGGGAGTGGAGAGAGGGCAGAGGATGTGGAGGAAAGAGGGAACACCAACCTACAACAAGCAGAAGGAATTGCCAACGGAAAAATCATGATTCTATCTTACCCAAATCACTGATATGAGGTCCACCAGTAACGATAAGAGCGAAAAACTGCGTCTGTTCTCGTTAACAATTCGAAAAAAAACCCGAGGACTGTCACGCGTTCAAATTCCCGACGTACATCTGTCACAAATGTTGGCGACGGGAACGATTCCACTTGGTTCTCGGAGTGCCTCACTAGGAAATCTTTTTGGCCTTTTCCACTTATTGCAATAACATTTCCCTTTTCTACTGCATCCTATTCCATCGATCGTTTTGTCTCTGTACTTCGAATTCGGACGGTTTAAGTTGATTCTTTTAATGAGTCGCCTAACGCGTGTCCCCCCCCCCCACTCCTGAGACGCACTTCTTTCCATGCGTTGCCTAATTTTGCCCGACCTACTCTCGACGGTCCCTAGTAGTACCTTTCGTAGGTTCGCCTCACTTCGGGAACTCAGGAGCTCTGCACATTGTCTCCTGCAATCACGACTAAAGAATTCATGTTGGGAAAAATGTAAGGATTTCTCATGAACGGCTGCGAACGATTCCTCTCACGTACAATAAAGTGTGCCTTATATTATGACTTTGAAAACGTCCACTTCTATGCAAAACACCTTTTTTGTACATAGCCCTCCCCTTCCAAGATGTTCGCATCACCAGTGGAAGGGAGCATAGCGAAAGCAGTAAGCTGGAAGAGATGGTAATGGCGGTTACCGGGGACAAACTTGGGGTAGTGTACGTTGTTTTTGAATATGTGCTGGAAGAAGCGCGACAAACAAGTACAACAACAACAAAAACATATTAGAGGGAAGGGGGATTCGTGCCTTTGTCTTCAGTTGTGTGGCTGTGGAGAAAAAGGCTGTCTTGGGTCCAGGTTATCAAGAAATACTCTAGACTAAGGAAATACAAATGCCCCATAAGTCAAGACATAACGGTGATGATTTCGGTAGAAACAAGCAAGCAATCACTTGTTTTGAACTATAATTCTAGGCTAAGGGAATTCGCAACGAGGCTTTCAAAGAGATCTGAGGGAGCGATTTATTTAATTTGGAAAGCGGCACACTCGATGGCCATCAGCGGCAGGCATTCAGTCAAAAGCGGTCACAAGGAGGTTGCACGAGACTCATGCAACAGTAGGAGTAAGAGTAATGCGGGGATAAGGGCATTAGCACCGATCGAGAGGCTGCGGATGGACCCTGACCTAGCACGATGTTTTGAGGGGGTCAAGAGAGAAGCAAGTGAAGGAATTCCGGAAAGTGCTTCCCACTAAGCTGGCTCATTTTCGAAATAAGAACAAGTTGAACGAAAGGCGTTGCGCTTTTTTGTCCCATCGCTGAAGAACGTAATTCACCTCCTTGTATCGTGCCTTGTACCAGATCTCTTGCAATTCTTTGTAGTAGCGCTCATCGAATCTCGATCTTCCAATCACCTCGAATAATCGATCGTAATTGCCGGCATGGTAGAGAGCATAAATGTAGGCTGAAATTATCACGACATTATCTACGTTTTCAATTATTACATTATTTTCCGATCATCCTGATAACGACTATCATGTCAACCTCGTCAAGTTAGTGTTAAACTGTTAGTTTGCTCCTCCACAAGTAAGATGTTAAAAATTTGTTTGGGTAGTCCAAAACCATCTCAAAACCGGTAACTATCTATTGCATCAACATGGTGCTAGACGACTACTTCAGGTCTGGGCTCACTTCGTGATGCAAACCTTCTAGTCCGGTGAACTTTTAGAAAAAAACGTTTTTTTTTATTCATCACCGAGGTTCGTCTAGAAGTTAAAAAAGTCTCGGTTCGTATTTAGTGAGACCCTGGAGTAGTATTGCTACGTAGTAGTATGGTGCTGATGTGAAGCCTTCATTCCCCAGCAAGGGGGGTCTTTCAGGGCAAGCCGCGCTCTTGCAAAACGATTTCTTGCATATTGCAGAGGCCCATGTAGAGCACAAAGCCGTGCTTCCTGCTGGACCAAAAAAAGCGAAGTACTGCCAGTGGTTCTATCCCACGTGGCGACTAAATTTTGCATTTGGGTTGGCGCCTACGGTTGGTGCCAAATCGCGCTAAATGTCAAAATCAGATGTCATATTCATGGTCAGGACCATTTTGAAGCCAAAAGTAGCCGCCAACCTTGAATGCAAAATTTAGTCGCCACGGGGATCGAACCATTGAGGGTAACATTCACTACTTTTTTGTACTGTTAAAACCGTTCAGGGAGAAGAAACTTGGTTGTGTGGTCCATACATGTTTCCTACAGTATGTCGAGAAGTTTTGGCAAGAAGCGTGTGTTGTTGCCCGAAAAACCCTCGTGGCGTAATATGTTACTGGTTATAACTGAATGAGTAGGGTAGCGTTGTTACTCACCCTTGATTAATGAAAGCGGGCATATTTCATTCATTCGTAGATAATCAAGAAGCTGAATTGACATTTTATTTTGTAGGTTGCTCGCCGACCCAGAACTTTCGCCATAGTATGAGAAAAGTGAACAAAATTTAGTAGACGGTTCATTGTTTTTTTGTTTCACGGCACTTACGTAAATAGATTTGCAAAAATTTCAGGTTGCGACTAAACAACAGCTAGATAAAGTTTAAGCGAAATCAGCTATCTGAATACGAGATGGATTATTTTATTAACTAGACGTCAAATGTCGGAATTTCCCTGTTTGGGTCCTCCGAAGCGCTTCGTCTCGGACCCGCGCGCATACACATGCCCTTTCATCCCAAGATGCTGTCGGAGTACAGAGAGAAGAGTTGGATTCGAGGAAACAATAAAGTATAGCAGCTTTGAGTGACGGTCGAGAAATGAAAATCTAGGTAAAGAGTGATTCATAAGCACATCACCCTGACGCTGGACCAGTTTTCAGTTTAGAATGCCCTTCAATGATTAACACCTTGGAGCACGCAGCCAATGTGGCTGCAGTCCGTACCGCGGTAGGAGCTTACAGAAACCCAAATTTTGGAAACGAGTTAGGTTTATCTTTTGTTTTTTTCACAGTTTCGTTCGATAGATTTCTATGCATTAGACAGAAGTTTTCATCCCATTTGTTGATGACAAGTTGCTTAAAAGCTTTCACTGAGGTTCATGCGCCCCGCAATGTAAAATGGCGGCGGTTCAAAAGGTGTATAGTGCTCGAGCAGATACAGTTGAGAGGTAGCATCAGGAGTGGATGGAATAATTATTAGGTTGATGCATAATTATTACGGCTTTTTTCGCGCGTTCTTTTCTCCAGAAGATTGGCGTTTGAGTTTCTGTTTTTTTTTTCATGAGAATATTCTTCTTTCTTCCATTAACAGAAATGCTTATCGGAAATTGTTCTCACATCATGCGTTATACTTGATTATGTAAATGTTAAGGCAGGCGCGGGCCATCCGGCGATCTCACAAACTTGCAACGACGGGCAGTAGCCAGATACCCAAGAAGGGTCGTTCAAGAAGGTTTAAAACGCAAATGACGAGCGGAGTCTACGTCTAGCAAGTTCATCGACGTTGAAAACTTGGCAAACGAAACAAGGAATGCTGGATGCGTTGGTGGCCAGTGTTAGAGCGTGGATCGTCTCCGAGAATCGTGACTTTTTTATCCGTGGAATCACCGAGAGAAAAGCAAATGGGAAGCATTCTTGTGGGATGGTGACCACGCTCCGGGGTTATTATTTAAACATGTTTTTGTTGAATAATTTTGTGTCGTTTTCGCTGAATAAAATTTGTTGCAAAGACCGCAATAATTTGCATCAACTCAATAGAATGACTGGAATGATGAATGTTTTGTATGGGTTGTGCTGAGAAGAAGAGTGTTACAAAATATTCTTTGGTTCTGTATGTTTATATTATATTATTTTATATGCATAACCAGGATTTTTCAGGGGCAAATACTGCTTATGTCAAAAGTGATATGTGGTAGTGAGGTGATGTGCTTCTTTTGAGTAGATGCAAGAATTTTTTCATAATTATGAGTGTTATAATGAAAGGTTTACAAAGTTACAGCCATAGAGGTGCTTAAGAATAAATCACTCAGTACCAATCCGAACTGGCTGTGACGTCCATTCAGAGCATAGCACTTGAGAGTCAATGTCTCGAAAAAGATGGACAAGCTGGTCGCCATCTTTCGCCTGATAAAGGGCCGTGCAGATTACATCCAACTGAAAACATTCCATGAGAGGGAGTACCGAGAGCAGATGATGGCGTACCTGCTGAGTGGAAAATGAAGTTCCGGCCATTTCGCGAATTGGAGATCCCACGGATTAAACTTGACACTGCGGGTCAAAATAACTCGACACCACACGGCAATTACCACCACATGGACGCCTTTAGGAAGTGTGGGCGTGGTCCACAACTGGCGACTGTGATTGGCCGCCCCATGGCGGTACAGTACGCCGGCGGCACCTGCTCACTTAATTGCGGCGCTGCTTCTCGAATATCAGCCTCGAAATCTGATCAGTCGTGCATAAATTAGCTCATCCTTATATGAAAGCGTCGCAAAGGACGGTTCACAGAATTTGGAACGATTCCATGGACTCTTCAAACTAGCAATGAAAGCAAGCCATGTGCAGGTTGTTTAAATGGGATAGTTCTTCATTCCTGAGTAGCATTCAGCAATGCCGAATCTTCATTTTTAAACTTTGAACAACAGCAAACTCGCTGAATTGCTCTAGGACTGGATCAGATCTGCCTTTGTCCCTCATAATTAGAGGAGTGAGTGCGATAGTTATAAGTTGGATGCTGTTACTAATCTACACGATACCAATTAACTTCCTCCCTATTAGTCAGGTGTTCGATGAAACTTTGGATAAGGAAAGTATTAGTGGAAGAAGATTATGGCACATCTGGCGCATTGTTTCCCGCAATTCGCGCTTCTCCTTGTTTCGTCCCACTCCGATATTGAGGACAAAATTATTGGCAAATTCTTATTTAAGCATAGACACTCCCTGTTTTGTTTAATGAGCCCTATTCCTTGGAAACAACCCAGAGAAGTTACACTTCTACCTCCCACATGGGTTTTTGGACTGATATAGCGGCCGGCCAGCACAGGGCATTGAAGCGGTACGCAGTGACCTCATTTACCAAGATCGTTTTTCAGGTCATGTCCAGCTTTTCGAAACGATGATTCGCATCATGTGTAGAGACACGAGTATGAAACAACGAATTATGCTCTGTTTTTTTGAGCGGCGTACTTAATGCCAAAATGGGTAGAAGGTCCATTTCATGGAATCGACAAAAGGTGACAAAGTTTGCATTTTCGATTTGCGTTTGCATTATGTCGCAAAATTGTATCTAGGGCCAACAGTGGATGGATACATACCATAAGGTTATCAGCGACTCATGTCACTATGTTTTTGCATAAAGTAACGCCAAAAATGTGCAGCGCTTTATATTATATCTTGAACACCTTGACGACAGCGCGGCAACTATGTATGCCGCCATTTTTGCACCTCATCGGACATTGTGGCAACTATGTATGCCACACCCATTACATTTATTTTTTCGCACATGCCCGATTTCTTCCCAAGTTTTTTGTGTTCATTTTATAGGCCATACATCAACATAACCAAGAACCACGTGGCTTACAGAATGACCAAATATTCTTTAGTTTGGCAGAGGTTTTCCGGACCTTACGAAAATATCCGTTCAGTTCATTCCTCATTTTCTCTTCATTAACACGAACATGTAGATAAAAAAGAATATTAGAAGTGTGAATACAAACCTATCGTATGGCAAGATATGTGTTTTTACTGAAACAACCACGTCCAAAATAATTTTGAAACCACTAAAGGAAAGTAAGTAAAATTTGCTTTTCATGGCCTTAACACGTCATTTTGGTCGAACTTCCATTACTGTAACTCCCGATAAGTTAGACAGATCGAACATTATTGAAAACACTTCATCGCATCTAAGTATTGCGTATTTACAGCTCAAAATCCATAAATTTGTGTGAAGGCGGCGGCGCTCGCAAAATCGCTCTGGTCCCACGCGGCCAAAAAAGCTGGAAACGCGCGATTTCGTCAACATTTACTCCAGTCTTCAGCATACAGAAGGCCGCTCAGGAAATATTAACCATAGTTTTGTGTTCAGTGCATGCGCTCCTATATTATGCAGGATAGCGTTTCAAAAAGCGAGCACGATCAAAAGCCCTTTCTGTGTAGCTAGGTATTTAATTGTCAGTTTGTAGGAAATTGTCAGCTTGTTGAAAAATTCCAAATTTGCGCCTGAAAATTCTGGCTCGACGATCTCTGAGAAAGCTGCGAGTTTATTCACTCTTTGTCGTACTCGGATCGGCAACCTCGTTTTGAATGAATGAACAAGTATGATGCTGCTCAATCGAAGGTATGAGAGATTGATTGGGCAAAATTCGAGTCTTTCGAGCACGCAGTTGTGGAGGCTTCAACGACTGTAATGCTCCCTCTCCAATTTCTTACTAGCACACCTTTCCGTCGTGCTCAGGCGCCAGTGTGTCGACCACATGCCCTAGGCGTTCCCAGTGACAGTTATGAATAGAAGTATTTGCCAGTCAATCGACAATCTGCGAAATCGGCTAACATGGTGCAACAAGTCCCTCCGCTCTGGTTAAACTAGTCATTTTAAACCAGAGCCGACAGTTCATTTTTGCAAGGAATTTCTCGAAAAGGTTGAACTTTAGGTGAAGAAGTCCGCAAGTAGACCACCTAACCGATCCTCAATAACCCTCTGAATAACCCCGATGCATGCACGCAAGACGGCTTCCCACCTGCGATAAATTTAACCTCGAATGGCTCGCCGGGATAATGCTTTCTAGTCGGGTCCAGGGTCGACCTAAGTAGACCGATTACGGTCAATACCTATATCAGTACGTGGATCTTTGGAAACTCAATCCGAACAAGATACAGCTCCTTCCAAATGCAAAAAAGATGCAACCGTTTAACGCTCTCAAAGTTGGCGGATGCTCTGTCAATTGTGGTGATTGTGTGCAATTACAGTCGGTACGCGTTTGATGAGCGGTCGCTGCAAACGGTTGCAATGTTTGCATTGGGGGATTACGTGGACCATGGACACGTTTAGTGCGAGAGTTTTCCCTGCGGGAGTCCTCGTTAGGGTCAAACCTTGTCGTAATTACCGCACAACCAATACTTGACACCTGTACTCACGCTGTTCTCGAACCTCAAGACCCCCTGATTTTCTCCACTGAATACCGTCTTCAGTACCCCAGTTGTGACAACAGGACACTCATTACGTACACAGATAGCAAATTAAGCCTGAATATTTTCCCGTCTCTTTGGGTGTTTCCAGTGTGTGTTTTAGAAATTTGCCTGGTCTCAGGGACGCCCAAAGCAGCGTGGCTTCAACAACTGAAATCAGTTGGACTCCATCCCAACCAAACATTCAATCGGGAAAAGTAGCACCAAAATACCAGCAAAGCAGTGCCCACCACCGAGCGCGACAAACGTTAAGGACGAAGATGAATTCAGAACATTGCTCATTTCACATGATTCTCGCGTATTCTGTCATTTTGCAACGCTTGTATCCACGATGTAATCAGTTGCTGAGCTCACCTCAACACATTTTTTGCCGTTGCAGATGAGCAGTTATCCCAAAATCAAGTTCGAGACTTACTGATAATCAGGTAAATGAATGAACGATACACTGTAGGTAGCAATTTTTTTTCATTGGGGGCTGGATGCTTGTATGTCCTCCGCTCCGGCGGTTCACTTGTCAAATGATTATGTAGACTACTTTTATCTGCTGAACGCTTTCTGAAATTCAGTAATTACTTAAAATTCTATTCAAGCTCAATTAAGACACAAGTTTTCTGCTCGGAAAGAAAGCTGAGCCATGTCCGGTTAACGAAGGTAGCATTTTCTATTGCTACTACTATAATTGTTTTATAGCTTTGGTACCGATCCCCAAGAGCGGAAGAAGAAGAACTCAGAATCAACTTGTCTAAAGAGTTACAGAATCCAAAAATTAGCAACTTCGAAAATCGTTTCTGTGCCTAAGAACCTCTAGAAGAGTACAACTCCACACTGTGAATAAAGCCGTGGAAAAAAGCGCCGACGTTTCACTATATGAACACTCCATCGCATGAAATCTTTCCTACTCAGCTTTCCCTGCATCTTACTCTAAGTGAGAGGACGTTTTAACAAAATTTATCATCAAATGCAACCTTAACCTTAATGGCATTATTTTCATACTATGCTCTTCGGTCGCTTCTTGCACGATTTCAGGATGCATTGGAGGCTGAACTATGCCTAGTCCCGATCATGGCGTTTTTGTTTTTTAGGGTGTGTGTCGCTAGTACAGAAAGCGACTTTTCGTTTTTCGCGTCGCGAAAATTTTTCGATCGCGCTAACTCCAGGTGCACGCCTGATCATTAGTGGTTTCCAGCGAGAATGTTTCGCGCCGCGAAAAGCGAAATAGTCGCCTTCTGTATTAGCGATCCACACTACGTTTTTGTGGATAACTGAGACCACGGTGAATCCTTGGATATGGCAGAATGTTCCTTAGGTGGTTAACAGTTGCATTTCCTTCATATCACCCCACCCGGTAACGCTAATGCCAACTGCATTGTGCATATTCTCGTGAATGTTCAGTGAATGGCTGGTTTGACAACGGCGAAGAATCGCGGTCATCAAATAAGCCACGGATACGTACTTGTGATAGGTTTATGAGGTCCTTTTGTAGACGTAAGCGTTTGCCTTTGTTTGAAGCAATTGTTGAACAATTGACCGTAATAAGTGGCAACAGCGGTGGGGGATGAACGGCGTTCACGAAAGAAAGCCGTCAAAGTCATTAGCGGATTAGGGGCGAGCCGTTAGACGCTCGGCACACGGCGCCGCCACCTTGGCGTGACAGTCTCTTCAAAAGCTCGCGAAATCGGGATTTTCCTCAGAATCCGTACCAGCGAACTCAATCTGGCAGAATAACCTCCACATTGGGTGATTACCGTAGCACATAAGGAAGGCTTTTACAAGCAATCGATGCATGGTGAAGCATATAGGATGTGACAAACCTGTCAAAATCCACATTGAGGCAAAAATGTCTAAAATGGCTAAAATCAGCAAAGTAGGTTTCTCAGGATGACGAGATGAGATGGAAGTATCGCTGCAAAAGTGTAACGAAATATCGCTCGATAAGAATAAGCAACTGCTTCTGGCCTCACAGCATCTTCAAAATATGGAATCTGTCAGCGCGATGGGTTCTACGAGGACTACAGTAGTGATCTTGAGAAAACGCGTAATTGCCTCGT